ACAGTGGGCTGCTGGTGATGGTCACTTCTGTGCCTGACTCCCTCTGGCTGGATGGGCACCATCTGGCTAAAAGATGAGCCAGGTCCCCTCCCCGCTGTGGCTCTCCAGGACTTGTGCCGGCCCGCAGCTCTGGTCCCAGCGAGGGCTCTAGCTGTAGTAGGAGGCCTGTCTCACCACCAGGCAGTGATGACAACACTTCAGGGGGCTCAGGGGACGCAGGGACAGCACAGGGGGACCCTGGAGACCCTCCATCCTCTGTGCCCTGAGGAGTAAAATCACTAACCATGGCGGGAGAGGAACCGTAGGCCTGGGGCCCAGGACTTGTGGGACAGGGCAGGGCCAAAGCTGGCAGGTGAGTGTTACCAGCCTTGAGACAGTGCCCCCTCCCCAGGGAGGAAGGGCTCCGGCTAGGCCTGAGCAGAGGCTCGGTGACAGAAGGGGCTGTGCTCAGGCTCCTGATTGCTGAGCAGGGACAATGACAGCCCTGGGCATGCACCCAGCACCTGAAGCTTCTTGCAGTCCTGAGCTCTTAGAAGTGTTCCTCAAGATGCCGAGTCACGAGGCCGGCCAGATACAGGTCCTAGCGGTCCTGGGTGTGCTCGGCCCCAGCAGCGACATGGGGCTGTATTTACAACCTCCCCCCATGCTGCAGAAGCACGCCCATCACCCAGGCGGGAGGAAAGTCAGTCAGCGGGGGACACCGGGCTCCAGAACTCCCAGCGGGGAGTAAAAGGGAGGAGGAGCTTGACCGCAGGACCACCTTGCTTCAGCTTTGTAGGAAGTGCCGTGGGGACTACTCAGCTGCGACACAGGACCAGGAACGTGGAGACACTGAAACGGAGCCTCCACAGCCCCAGAAGAGCAAGCCTCAGCCCAGGAGGGGGACCAGGCCCAGACCAACAAGAAAGGTGGCAACTTTGCAGACTGCAAGAAATCTGCAAGAAATCAGGGTGCATACAATTTGACTCCCACCTGTGCATCAAACAAGCTGGGCTGTGGGTGGGGACAGGAGCTGTAGGGGACACAGGGGACATGGGAATGTTCCTGAGTGCACAGATGACTCAGCCCAAGTTAAGGGGTCAGCGTTCTCTGCGCCATCAGGAGATTTTCACCTCCTTCTCAGGAGAATGCAGCCGAGGGCCATCTGGAGTCCCTCCTGCTAGGCCTCCTCCTACACACTGGCTTCCAGTGCAGCCACCACCTGGCTTGTCACCACCGGTGTTAACGTTTGGACAGAAAGAAGGCCCAGCTCAGCCTGAGGCCTGACGTCCATCAGAAAGCGCAGAATTCCGACAACTTCTTCCTGCAGCGTAAGGAGGTCGGCCCGCTTGTCACTCACCTCCCCCAGTGAAGGCTCACCAGGGACTGCTGGCAGGTGTGCAAAGGAGACACCCACGCACCCACCCCTGCAGAACCTGGCGCTCCGGTGAGTTCTCCAGGGCTGCCCCTCTCACTGGCCCCAGGACCTTATTAGCCAAACGGCCAGGGGAGGCCTCTGACTTCACCCTGTCACTGGAAGAAAGTGCCGGTTTCCTCTGTCACTAGAGGAAACCACAGTCCCTGAGGAGCCGGAGGCAGAACCAGGTGTTCACGTAGTGGCCCAGCTTGTGGCCTAGTTTCCAGCATCATGGCCGTGGTGTACTGAAACCGCAGTAGGTAAGCAGTGCCCGCTCCTCCAACAGGAGGTTCCTGCCAGTGTCTGCTGAGGGGCTGGTGCCGAGCAGCTTCTCAGCTGAAGGAGGCAGCCGAGGCATCTGCCCTCCAATGCCAGGTCCGTAGGCACAGCTGGAGCAGCTAGACGGCTGCTGCACGGACTCTAGGCTACAGCGGCACCACCGATGTGTCTCACTGCTGTCCAGGCCTCCTGCACACGCAGGTGTGCCAGGACAGGCCAATGTTTCAGAGAAAGGCAAGCAGGCCAGGCCCTGGGCACCCGGAGCTGTCCCGAGAAGTGGAGGCCGACTTCCAAAGCCTTTTCCGGGTGGTCTCTCAATCGCTCATGTCCTGGCCCAGCTGACTCGGTTCACCCACACACAGACCCACATAAGCCGCCTGCGCCTGACCGAGAGGCCTGTGCTCTCAGACGGCCGAGCAGGAAGTGACAGAAGTTCCTGAGGCCAGAGAAGCCAGCTCATTGGCCTGGGTGACGCCGGGCAGGGGGCAGTAAAGGCTAAGCGGTCCCCAGGGTCTCTGTGGTCACTGCTGCAAGTGCGCTAGGTGGTGAGGCAGCTGAAGCAGCAGAGGAGTGGCGAAGAGGCCAGCCAGGGCCTGACCGCCTGAGCCCAGACACTGGCTTTGCTGTCACACTCAGGAACTTGCCTCAGCCTCTCTGTGTCTCCTTCTCCCTTTACTAAAGGAATAGTGATGGTACCTGCCTCACACGGCCGTGGCACACAAGCGGTACTCAGAAACCGTCTATTTTATCATTCCCTACACTTCTCCTTAAACACAGGCATTTTAATTTTTCCATGACCTCTGTTCATTAATAAACTGCATGTGGAATACTTAGCTGGAGAGACAAATGTGACAACACGGACTAGACAGAATGAAAGAAAAGGTATAGAGGCCAGAGGCAGCCTAGGGCTGACCCTTGACCCAAACACACACAAGCCCTACAGGGAGGGTCCATCAGAGGGCTAGACACAGCCAGACAGCTCCTGTTCCGGACGTGGCTCACTCCCGAGGATGTCCCCTGAAGCCCCTGGGGGGTTCCTGGGAGCTCTCCCACAAGCTCCACTCAGAGGCCTCCTGCCCCTGGGCTCCTGCTTGAAAACCCTCCCCATGACCCCCCTTCTTCTGTCCGGGTGCTGGAGCAGGGTACCTGCCCCAAACAGGGCTGCTCTCACCATCAGAAAATCTATTTTGTGGAAAGAAACTGCTGACAGTCAGGCAGCCGTGGAAGAGAAATAACCAGACCATCAGCAAACTTTTTTAAAGGAAAGGTGTGAGTCTTTGAATCTGTGCTCATTTGCACATGTGCCTTCACAACACTGGACAAGGGACTTGGGGAAAGGAAGAGGCAGAGTCAGAACAGCCAGGAAAACAAGCCAGCAGGGAGGTCTTTTCAAGGCAGAAACTACAGAACAGGCTCTTGCAGCATCAGCCTTATGACTAGGAGACAGATCAGATTCTGCCAAGGAAAGCATGGGGGAGGGGTGTATAGGAAGTAGTGCTTTCACAACAGTTCTGTGCTCTGAAAACCACATTTTAAGAGAAGACTTATTTGGGGAAAAAAAGAAAATACAGATTTGTGCAGACCAAGAGAATGGAAACGCTGCAGCCTAGGGCTGGGTGAGGGTTGGTGTCAACGGGACACCATCAAAAGCCTAGGAAAGGCTTTCTAAAATTAGGCCCAGGACAAGCCTTACAGGTCTCTCAGTGAGGGACTGGAAGATGCAGAACACACCTTAAAACACCCACTAGTACATGCCTACAAGAAGGAGGTCCTGCTGAGGCCGCCCTGCCAAAACATCAAGCAGCAAGAAAACGTGAGGCCTAGCACCCTTCAGGACAAGTGGGCAGTGCTGTCCTGGTATGGGCCGGCGCCTGTGCTGCCCGACATGGGAGAAAGTAAAGTGCAGGCTTCCTGAATCCTGATGCTGTCCCTGCCACCTCCCTGGGTGACAACCGCCACACACCTACCCAGCAGTTCCACCTCCCTCTGTATCAGGAGCCTCCCAAGTCAGCTGCCTTTGTTTGCAAAACGTTCTGTGGCCTCCTACCAGCCCTGGTGAACCTCTGGCCCATCTCCTTGGAGTGAGAGCCCCACCTCCTCAGCAGCTCCGCTGGCCGCCAAGCCCTCCTGCCCCCTCTCCTCACCCTGCTAATTTCACTCTGAGCTGTATTATTCAGACTTGGGAGAGTTGGAGAGCAGACACTCTGATCTCGGCTCCCTCCCAACCAGGCTGGCAGCTCTGAGAAGATTTGAGTACAGCTCTCAGCTGGGAAGAGAGCCACATCCTCAGGTTTCTGTTCCTAAAACACCCCAGTAGGCCCTGGTGCAGCTGGGAACCCTAGCAAGGTGCTTGGCGTCTGGTCCCCTGAGGGCCAGCCTGCCTAGCTGCTCGGTGACCCATGTGACCCAAGTTCTCCATCAAAAGAAAACAGCACCAGATCCAAACACGCCCCTCTCCTATCTTTAGGGAACTCCTCTCCTTTGCAGCCGAGACAAGCAGACAGCCGGTCTGAACCAGAGTTGACAGCAAAAGCCACAAGGCATTTATTTACAACTCCCCATCCGAGTCTCCACGGGACCGAATCAAAGGCGACTGGCGAAAAGGTCACGCCTGCTTCCCTCTGAATACCCGGGGAGGCCCGGGGACCCCGAGGCCCGGCAGGCAGGTCGCCCCCGTGTCCCGACGGGGTCGTCGGTCGGGGCCTCGGGCTGGTGAGAGGGGCCTGGGCTGAGGCTGGTGAACGCGCCCAGAGGGCAGGGGCTGCCTATGCAGGGAGCCCCGCGCCCCGGGCCACCGCGTCCTCTGCGCGCCGACGCTGCACCGGGCGGCCGCCGACCCCTCCCTTCCCGGAGGCCGGCGCACTCACGTGTGGCCGCAGCTGCCGATGGCCACCGGCCGGTGGTAGACCTCCAAGCAGATGGGGCAGCTGAACTGAGCCTCCAAGCCGCTGTCGCCGCCCGCCGGCCCGCCCGGCGGCTGCCGTTGCTGAGCCGAGGCCACCAGGCTGCGGAACATCGCCATCCCAGGGCCAGGCCCGCTGCCACCGCCTCCACCGCCGCCCCTGTCCCAGCCCGGCCCGGCCCGGCCCGGCCCGGCCCGGCCCAGCCCGCGCGTCACGGCTTCGCTGACGTTGTTAGGACGCGCCCCGCCCGCGACCCGCGCGATACGGCGGCGGCTGCGCCGCGTGACGTCTTTAGGGCGCGCCCCGCCCGCGACCCGCGCGATACGGCGGCGGCTGCGCCGCGTGACGTCTTTAGGGCGCGCCCCGCCTCCGGCCCGCGCGTCACTGCCGCGACGGCGCTGCGGTGACGTTTCCAGGGCGCGTCCTGCCGCCGCCTCTGGGGTCTACAGCGTGATTCGGCGCAGACATGTGCCAAGTGGGCGAGGACTACGCGGACCCTGCGTCCGACGGTCCCCCGGCACCGCGACCTGGGTAAGAGCTGGGCGGCCACACCCGCCCCTTCTCTGCCCGACGCTCCCGGCCCACGCATTGCTGTCAATCCCGGGCGCCGCTCTGCGGGAAGCCCGGCGACTGTCGAGGCCGGGGCCCTGGAGTCCTGGGGTCCCCGGGGAGGAGGGGCGCAGGACCTTGCTCCGCAACTCCCTAGGCGTGCCTGTCAAGCTGGTGGTGAACACCCCAGGAAGGGACTCGCACTGCTCGCTCGCACCTCTAGTTGTTGAAGCCCGTGGGGATGGCTCCGCGGCTGACCAAGCTGTCCTTACTCGAAGAGGAGGTTGGCCTCCCTGTGGCTTCCACCCACTGGCTCCGTTTCCCTCCAGGCGACACAGAGCAAGTTGTCTCTCCTCTCGTCCAGCCCTTGAGAGACTGAGAGGCCGTCTTTATGTGCCCCTGAGCCGACTTTAACAGACAAAAATCCCCCCAGGACCTTTGTCTTTCTTCAAATTGGTAGTTTGGATAAGACAAAAACCCTGATTTGTGTGTGTACAGCCCCCCGTTTGACCTCTCTTGTTCACCAGCTTAGGGTGAGAAGCAGGACGCCAGTCAGCCCAAAGCCTGCTGGGAGGGGGTGTGTAATCTGTGTTCTTGTTCTCTCTTCCCCCCATGTCTCCAAAGCCGTGAGCAGAAGTGTGTGAAGTGCAAGGAAGGCCTCCCTGTCGTGGTGATCCGAGCAGGAGATGCCTTCTGCAGGTGAGGCCTAGAGGTGGGGAGAAGACCCTGCAAATACGATCTCACTCAGCAGCGAGGATCACCCCCATTTATGTGGCTTTAACTCTTGCTTTTAAAAGCATTTAATTACTTTATTTCTGCTTCTAATGTTGCTCCTGGAGACCCTGGTGTGTGTGTGGAGAGTGTTGGTTTCCTCCATGGGTACCATTCTCCTATCCATCCGTGGATCAGGTGGCAGGAAGGTATCGGATAGAGCTTGTGGGGAGAGCTTGAAGTGAGAGTGGGGTCAGGTGTACATGAGAAGAGCATTTTGGGGCAGTTGGAACACATCTAGGGCAGATCAGAGCATCCTGGGATCCTGGGCAGGTGCTCTGGGTGATGGCGTGTTTTACTTGTGAGGGGTAGAGGGATGGAAGGAGAGCTCTAGCTTTCCCCCAGCTTTGGGAGGCCTTCAGACAGGAGCAGAGGCTTATTCCCAGAGGGGCCTGGACACGAGCCTGTTCCATTTAACTGAAGCTGTCTTTTGGCCCTGTCGCATTGCCCTTGAATCATAAGTCTCCCAGTGTCTGGTCACATTCCCTGGACTTGTAGCTCCATGAGGGCTGAGTCCATGTCCCATTTTATCCCTGTTAATTCCTGGTGACGTTGAATGCTTTGTATAACAAACGAACGTTTGTTGAATGAGTGACTGGCTCACACTTTTAAACAGGTTTCCGAGAGTTGTGGATTCTGCTGTGTAAAATGTTCCAAGAGGGAAACTAAAGGGACTGACTTGTTTTCTCAAAACCTTCTCATCCCTGCCTGTCTCTCGGGAGTCTGGTAGGTTTGGCACATGCCCAGTAGAATGAGCTGTGTGCCACCAGGAGATACACTCTAGGCAAGGAAGCCACTGCTTTAACCACTTAGAGCGTCTGAAAGTGACGATTGCCCCACTCTGCCTGGAGACTCTGATTAAGAGCATCTGCGGTGACTCCAGGCGAGGCCGACAGGGCTCCTTCTGGCCCAGAGCTCCCTTCCTGTGCTTGTTGGTTCCCAGAAAAGGTGGGAAGCCAGCTTTCCAGATTGTGGGTTTTGGCAATCTGGGTTTTGAGCAAATTTCCTCAGTGATTGTGAGGATCAGCACCTGTGGGCAACCGTGGCCTGGCCCCGAGGGAGGGTGTGCGTCTGTGTGTGCTCCGGGAGCCTCACCACACCCCGACCTTCCTGGGAGTCACTTCCCGTGGCTGGTCACCTGGGGTCCCTGGAGCCTTGGCATTTTGCTCTTTTTTTTTTTTTTTTTTTTTTTTTTTTTAAAGTTTTTTTTTTTTTTTTTTTTTTTTTTTTTTTTTTTTTTAAAGATTTTATTTATTCAGTTTTTCCCCCCAAAGCCCCAGTAGATAGTTGTATGTCATAGGTTCACATCCTTCTAGTTGCTGTACGTGGGACTCGGCCTCGCGTTGGACAGAGAAGTGGTGCCTCGGGGCGCTCCCGGGATCCGAACCCGGGCCGCCAGCATCAGAGCGCGCGCACCCAACCGCCAAGCCACGGAGCCGGCCCAGTTGGCATTTTGCTCTTAAACAGTGAGTTGACTTATCGTCTGCAAAGGGCCATGGGGTATTTTGTTGGCCCCTCCTAACAGGTGCCTCTTCAGTGTTGGGGGGACTGCTGTGGACACCAGTGTGTCTGAATAGGAAGGAGGAGCTAGAGTAGGGGCTAGGGCAGCTCTCCTGGGGCAGCATTGCTCTGCTGCTCTGCTCCGGGCACTGTTCTCCACCCTGACTGCCTGCTGGGGTTGCCAGGGGGGCTTTTAAATGCAGATGCCTGGGCCTCACCCCGATACATACTGACATAGTTGGCCTGAGTGATTCAAATGTGCAGCCAAGGTTAAGAACCTCTGACCTAGTGAGCCCAAGGACCAGCTGGAAGGTTTATCAAGAACTCAGGGGCCGGCCCCGTGGCTTAGCGGTTAAGTGCGCGCTCCGCTGCTGGTGGCCCGGGTTCGGATCCCGGGCGCACACCGATGCACCGCTTCTCCAGCCATGCTGAGGCCGCATCCCACGTACAGCAACTAGAAGGATGTGCAGCTATGACATACAACTATCTACTGGGGCTTTGGAGGAAAATAAATAAATAAATAAAATTATTAAAAAAAAAAAAAAGAACTCAGATTCCCAAGACCCACCCTGGAAGCTCTGATTCTTTGGGTTTGGGGAAGAGCCCAGGACTCTGCATTTGCACGAGCCTCCTGAGCAGTTTTGGTCCAGGTGGTCTCAGCGCACTAGAGAGAAGCCACAGTGGGGCTTCAGGACGCTGGGCACGCTCTGCAGCCTGCTCAGTGCTTCCCCCTGCACCCTAAGAGCTGGTGTTTCTCCACGTGGGGCACTTGGAAGGGGTCATCAACTCTGCTTAGGGGAGAGCTGGGGTGGCCTCACCCTGCACATGCCTGTGTCCATCTGTTCCACCAGCTTGGTCCTTCCTGAGCACCTGTGGGTGCAGGTGGCCCCTGGGCTATGGGCCCCTCAGGCATTGGTTCATACTGGTAAGGACTGAGGTGGAGGGACCCAGGCAGGCCTCCCTGTGCAGCGTGAGGCTCATCTTGGGGCAGCCACAGGTCTCCGGTCTCTGGGTGGAGCCTCAATGTCACGATGCTGCTTTTAAAGATGGAAGTTGCTAACAGAAGGAAACGTAACCCAGTGGGGCCTTAGGCTGCTGCCCTGTGAGGCAGGTGTGAGCAGCTTGCCCGTCTCTGCATGGAGAGTAGACGGCCTAGGCTGTGTTGTCACAGCTGCTGGGGGTCTGTGTTGCAGGGACTGTTTCAAGGCATTTTACATCCACAAGTTCAGAGCTGTGCTTGGGAAGAACCGGCTGATCTTTCCGGGTGAGAAGGTAGAGCGTGGGTGACTCCTGTGGAATCCCCTGGGCCCTGGCTCTCGGCCCCTGCTGCCCCTCCCGCAGCTGGCCTGTTCCAGCTGCACCCACCAGCCCCTCCTGCTGTTCTTCACCCGGGCTCTGAGGGTGGGCTCACATCCAGGGGCATCCCTGGGGGGTGGGTACGCTCATGTTGGAGATGTGCCTCCAGTGATGTCCCTTCTCCCCCAGGTGCTCCTGGCATGGTCTGGGGGACCTTCGTCCAGCTCCATGGTCTGGCAGGTCCTTGAGGTGCGTCCCCACACCATCCTCTGGGGCCCAGGCTACGGCCCAGCCGAGCTCCAGGGTAGAGATCCAGGGTAGAGGGCTGGCACTGAGGGGCTCTTGCTTGGGGCTAGAGAGAATGGCCCACTTCCCAGCTGAGATGCCCAGAGGGTTCTCAGATGTGCATACGAGAGGCTCACAAACCAGAAGCTGCATCTGGAGTACCCAGCTGTGTCCCCTTTTAGGAGTGTTTCCATTTGCTCAGCTATGAAGAAACACAGTCACTAGAAAACAGGTGTCACGCCATAGCAGAACCACTTGAGGTGTCTCAGAGGCCATGGGCCTCCCCCTGGTCTTGGGAGTGTGTCTGGAACAAGACAGTGAAATATGAGCAGTTGCATTGGTTGACCCAAAAGGGGCCTGGCCCCGACTGGAGTTGCTTCCTTAAGTTTAAGGGGAGACCAGAACGAGCAAGGGGGCTGCCAGGTGCAGTGAAGGGAGTGGTGGTGTTGGTGGAGAGGGCAGCGTGCGGCGCGGTGGGGAGGGCAGAGTGAAGGTGAGTGGGTTCAGGTCACAGAGGCTAAGTGTGGGGCCTGTGTTCTGGGCGTGTCAGCAGGCCCAGCTCCAAGTATCGGAGGCAGGCTTCTCCCAGTGGCACTGGGGCGCCTTGGAGGCCTTGACCTGGGGGTGGGACACACACGCACCCTCTGCACTCCCTGTGAGGGGCACAGACTGGAGGAGCTGGGGAGGAGGCTGCAGCCATAAGGGTACCTGTAGCAGGGGTGCAAGAGGCGGCCTAGGGCTCCAGGGGAGGCTTCTCTGGTTGGTTTTCTGTGCTCAACTCACGGTCCCCTAAACCTGGCCAGACGGCGTGAGATGAGTGCCTGCTCCCCTGGTGAATGGTCCAGCACCTGGCACTGCTCTTCCCTGTGACCAGCGATGCCTCCCTTTTTTCCCGTTGTCCTGTTCCATTCTGAGTGGTCAGAGGTGCTCAGGCAGGAGGCTTCTCTCAGGGCTTTGCTTGGATGTGGGGACAGACTGATGGGGGCCGGGTTTTACTAGGGGGAGAGAAGACGCCCAGGCAGGGCCACTCTGAAGTCAGGCTGTGTGGCCTCCTTGTGGGGCCTGCCTGGCACCCGGTCTGAACACCCTATCATGACAGGTGGGGGTCACTGCCTCTTCCTGGAGGGCATTCAGTCCAGATGGAGAACGGTCTCTGCCAGGAAAGTGTCCGTGCCTTCAGGCTGTAAGGCTGAGGCCCTGTCACTTTCCCCTCCAGGGCCTGAGTCGAGATTCTGCCAAGCGACTGCGTTTTGTGCCAGCGGTTGTCTATGTCGACGGTATGTGTGGCCATCCCTCCCTGGCCACTCGGGAGGGGCCTCGATGAAACAGCTGGCACTGTGCCCATACCACGGCCCTGGCAGGGCATTTTTCTGAAGACAGAGCACACATGTCCAGCAACAGACGGCACCACTGTTGTCTTAAGTCTCAGACTGTCATCAGATTCAGGCAGGAGCGTCTGCCCATGGGGTCAAGGGCGCTGAGTGAGAAGGGCAAGGTCACTGCCTCAGCCCTCCACCCCCTCCTGTGGGATAGGCTCCCAGGCAGGTCTTTAGTGCTGAGATCGGTCATGCCTCCCCGTCGCCCACTCTGCAAATGCTCCCCCAAGGAGAATGGGTCAGCATCCTATGGTTTCTATAGAAACCACCGTCATGCAGAGCACAGCCTCGTGGAATTTCTCGCATGGTGGCCTTGTCCCGCCTGCGTGGGGCCCTTCTCCTATAAGCCAGGGCTCTCCTTTCTGCCCACGTTTCTCAGAGGGAGCAGCCTGTGGCCAGAGCCCGGAGGCCAGAGCAAAAACCCTGGCTGAGATGAAGCTGATCCTGCAGACCATTGGCTTCCCGTGGCACGTCGTCGCCTTAGAAGAGGTGGGTGGGCCTGTCCTGTTAAAGACCACTGGAGGTGACCACTGGGGTGTCCATGAGGGGCATGTGCCCACTTTTTGGAGCCAGTCTATGGGCCTCCTGCCCTGGGCCTGTTTCCCCCCAGTATGTAGAGAGGTGGGCCTGGGCCTCATGCTCTCTCCCCTGTCCTCCCCTGCCCTGGAAGGTGTTCGACCTGCCGCCATCTGTGCTGCGCTGCTTTGCCCAGGAGCCGGTGGGGACTGAGGGGGCCTACAAGGCAGCCGTGGATAGTTTCCTCCAGCAGCAGCATATGCTGGGGCCTGAGGGGGCTGGGGACAGCCTCAGCCCAGCCCAGGGGGAGGAACAGCTGAGCTGGCCCTGTACCCAGGACCCCCAGAAGCCCAATAAGCTACCCACAGCTGCCCAGACTGAGGCTCTGTCCAGACTGTTTGACTCAGTGAAGACCCTGACGGCCAAGGAGGAGCTTCTGCAGACACTGCGGTGAGCCCCCTCCTTGCTCTGGAGTCCCAGCCCCGCCCCCACAGGCCCTTGAGACAACCCCCTACTGGGGTCCTGCCCCTGCCCCACTCTGCAGGACCCACTTGATCCTACATGTGGCCCGGACCCATGGCTGCTCCAAGGTGATGACGGGGGACAGTTGCACGCGCCTGGCCATCAAGCTCATGACCAGTCTGGCGCTGGGGAGAGGGGCCTTCCTCGCCTGGGACACGGTACGTGGGTGCAGGCCACCCAGGGCCCCCTTCTGCCCTCACACCTCTAGCCCTTTCATTTGAAAGTAGCGTCTCATGAATCAGTCCTGGTGTCTCCCACATGGAGCACGGAGTTTGTGACCCCTGAACTGGGAGGGAAGGAGGGGGAGCTGTGAGTCGGGTCAGCTGAGTGTGGTGAGGAACGTGCCGCCCCCACTGCCCAGGGCTTCTCAGACGAGCGGCACGGCGACGTGGTGGTGGTGCGGCCCATGCGTGACCACACACTGAAAGAAGTCGCCTTCTACAATCGCCTGTTTGCCGTCCCCTCTGTCTTCACGCCGGCCATCGACACCAAGGTGAGCTACAGGGATTGGGTGGGCGGCCTCCCCTCTAGCCTGGGGTCAGAGATCACTGGCACACCATTGGTGGCCTGAGCCCTGTCCACACCAGCCTCTAGCCTCAGTGCCACTACCCAGTGTCATAGCAGTGTCCCCCAGCATTCTCAGAGCACACATGGGGCATCCACAGGCATTGGAGGGACAGGCTGGTGCCCTTGAGGAGGAGGGGGATCTCAGGGAGAGAAGGCAGCCAGCCCCCAGGTGCCCGTGTCCCTGGGAAGGCCAGGTGCCCAGCTTGGGGGTCGTAGACATGGAGGAGGGGATGATGGTGCAGGATGACCTTTGTCAGGGTCACTTTATATAATTTTTAATAATTTAAAACAAATTATTTTAAAGTATTTAACAACAGGGACACTTTAGAAGTGGACGCCCCAGCTTGCTCCAGCCCCAACACGGCAGACTCTCTGGATGGCAGTGTAGAGAAGCCCAGGCCCCCACTCTAGGTGACCCCTTGGCCAGGCCTGGGGGCTGCCCTCTGCACTGCAGCCCCTCTTGTAGCACCCTATCTGGTTGTCTCTAGGCCCCTGAAAAGGCCAGCATTCACCGACTGATGGAGGCCTTCCTGCTCAGGCTGCAGGCCCAGTTCCCCTCCACAATCAGCACCGTGTACAGGTGTGTGTGTGCGTGCGTGCCCGTGGGCAGCAGTATGAGGGGCTGTGGGTGCTGAGCCCATCTTCCTGGTGCCCAGGCCAGGGCGAGAATAAAGCCCCTGGCTGACAGTGCCTTTGTGCCCCGCCCCCCTCACCCCCAGGACGAGTGAGAAGCTGGTCAAGGCCCCCAGGGATGGTTGTGCTGCCGGCCCCCCTGGCCCCCGCTGCCTGCTCTGTATGTGCACACTGGACGTCGACACTGTTGGTCTGTGTCTGTTGTCCCCGGGGTGCTCGGGAGAGGGTATCGGCCAGTGGGTGGTGGGGTTCAGCGGCCCCCCGGTCCCTTCAGCTCCTCTCTGCTTGCAGACAGCGCCACGGCTTTTGGGGCTCAGACTCCCTTGCATCTCTCCCAGATGCAGCCCCCTGCCCCACTGCCCACGGTACCCTCCTGTTCTGCAGGGATGGGCCGGGCACAGGGCTGCTGCTGGGTGGCCGGGTCCTGTGAGAGGTGAGTCCCTGCCCTGTCCTGTCCCACTACATGGCTGGCCCCTTGTAGTTGCACGGGGGGAGGGAGCAGGGGGACACCTTGGGACCACGGCTTGGGCAGAGCCCTCCCTCGCTGTGACCTCGGGCCCCTCGCTGAGGGCCACAACCAGGTGCACGGGTCCAGCTCTGCTCTTGCAGGGAGGACCCCCGAGCCCGTGTCGTTGAGCAGCTGTGCTATGGCTGCCGTGTGAACATGAAGGACTTGGTGAGTGGATGCCCTCCCCGTGTTGGGGATGTGGGAAGCCCTCCTTCAGGGGGTGAGGGGGCAGATTGGCACTGCCTTGGCTGTGTGCCACGTGTGCCACGCAGCCCCTCACCCACGCTGGCTCTCTGTTGCAGCCCTCCCTGGACCCCCTGCCACCCTACATCCTGGCAGAAGCCCAGCTCCGCAGCCAGAGGTACCGGCACCCACTGTGCTGGGGGAGCTCTGGGAGGGGCCCTTGTGGGTGTGAGCACTTGGAGGGCTAGTTCCCACTGTGCTGCTTCCCCTAGGGCCTGGGTCGAGCAGCAGATCCAGGAATATCTGGTTGAGGACAGTGACAATGAGGTGCAGACTGGTGAGAGCTGAGCCCGAGGATGAACACCCCGGACCAGAGGCACCCAGGGTGCTGGGGCTGCCCCGCCGGGACCTCAGCAGGAAGGCAAGGACGGACAGGCAGTGCGTGATCGTCTGTATAAATAAAAACGTTTTTAATTAGAAAACTCTATAGTACGCATGGGAAAGGCCTGGCACAGTGTGCATGGGGCCCAGCAGGGAAGACAGGAAGGGACAGCAGTCCTGCGCTGGGCCTGGAGGGGCCGCAGCTTCCTTCTGACAGCAGCATTAGGGCTCAGTAGGCCGGGCGGACATGTCACAGGTGGTGGCCTTGGACTGGGGTGTCTGCTCCTGTGGCCCGAGGAAGGCTGCCCACCAGCCTGCCGGGCAGCTCCTTCGATCATGGTGTGCAAGGAGCCGGCTCCTACTCCTTCTCACGCGTCCACTTGATCATGGTCTCAGGCGAGCGGTACAGGAAGATCAGCTTGGCATACAGCTCCTCCTCTAGCTCCAGCTCCCGCGTCTCCCGCACCAGGAAGATGTCCTGGCACAGCTTGAGGATGCGGTCCACGCACGGCAGCTCCTCGAACATGATGGAGTGTGAGATCTCACTGAAGAAGCCGCGCACGAACTTGCCGATGACCAGCACAATGGACACGTAGAGCCCCATGATCCTGTAGACGGGGGCGGGTGAGTCCTGAGGGCTGCCGCCCAGAGCTGCACCTCGGCCCCCATGCCATATACTCACCCGTAGCCGGCCAGGAAGCCCAGGCTGGGCGGGCTGACCTTGTCACTGAAGATGACCATGGGTAGTAGGTTGCAGTCGGCCTTGCAGTCCTGCAGCTCAATGACCCACCACTCGAGGAAGCCAGCGGCCCCTGAGCCCACACGCTCCCTCCGCAGCTGGATGCGCACACCGAGGTAATCAGCCTCCTCGTCTGGGTCCAAGCCAGGAGACCGTCAGAGGCCATCACCCTCTTGTAGGGCTGAGGCCCAGCCCCAGCCCCCACCCCACAGCACCCCTGCCCACACTCACTGGGCTGTAGCTGCTTCACGGGGTTGGCTTCAGGTCCGTTGGGGGCACGGATGTACTTGGGGAAGAGGTTGGGGATGACCCTGCAGGGAGGAGGCCAGCGGTGAGATCTGGCCCAGCCCTCTTAGTGCCCCGCCCGGCCCCCCTGGCCCCCACTCACACTGACTGGTCCGAGGTGCCCTCGAGCAGGCTGGCCAGCTGCCGCCGCGCAGTGCTATTGGGGGCCAGGTCCAGGGTGTGCTTTTCATTGGTGTATTCCACATTGCCGCCCTTGGCCAGGTCCCTGCAAACGGGACAGTGTGACCCACCACAGGGCACACCGCCCCGCCCCCCCCCAGCCCAGGACCCACCTCTGGAAATTCCAGGTGAAGCGCAGGGTGATGTCGGTGGTGCCGTTGTACAGCTCCCGCTTCATCTGGGCCCGGCTTGGCGGGCTGATGCGCCACAGTGCCCCAGAGCTGCCCTCGATCTGTGCTGTGACGATGTCCTCAGGGCTGTACTGGCTGATGAACTGCATGGCCAGCTGGGCGCAGGGTGGCACCTCAGTGGGGTGTGGCCAGGCCACGCCTCCCCCTAGGCCGTCCCTGCCCCCCGCCAGGCAGACGCAGCACGGGGCTCACTCACCGGGTGGGGGTCAAACTGCCTGGACAGCGCCTCGTAGGCATGGTGTGTGAAGGGCACGATGGATGGCTGCTGGGCGCTCATGGTGAACAGGGGCTGGGGCGGGGAGGGACGGGCAATGTGGCTCGGGGAGCTCCCCTGCCCCCAGCACCCATGCAGTGCTCCTCACGGTTCACGAAGATGAGAAAGCAGAGGAGCCGCCACCCAGCATCCCCTCTCCCCTGGCTGGAACAGACAGGGGGCTGCTCACCTCATACCCGCCCAGCTTGAGGGTGACAGTGACGTCAATGGGCTGGTTGACAACGCCGACCACAGAGCGCACCAGCGACATGAAGAGCAGTGGGAACCAGATGATAGCCACAAGGAACAGGATGATGAGGCCACCCATGCCATACTTGACAATCTTCTTCTTCTTCTGCCCCTTGGGCTGGGGATATTTCTGGGGGGAATGCAGCACAGGTCACTCGCTCAGCTCTGCCTGCCCCGTGGGGCCTCTGTCCAGTCCCCATCCTGCTCTGGGGTGGCAGGCTCTGTCCCAGAACCCCCCTCCCCGCCCACTCATCGTCACATGACCATGGGTCTCGGGCTCACCCAGTGGCCCCAGAAAGTCAAAGCTCGACTGAATGTCAAAACTGCAGAGCTGTAGCAATGGAGACAGTGCGGCCCTGCACGGGGACAGACGCAGAATGGAACTGTGAGCCACAAACAGGCCCTCACGTTGAGATGGTGCGCTGTAACAAATGGTGCCAGGACAACTGGACTGCCACGTGGGAAAGGGTGAAGCTGGACCCCTACCTGACACCGTATACAAAAGCTAACTCGGGTGTAAGACCTAAAGCAATAAAACTGGGGGGTGGGGGGCAGCAAATCTTCATCACCTTGTATTTGGCAAAAGATTCTCAGATCTAACACCAAAAGCACAAGCAGCAAAAGGAAAAAAAAAAAAACGACATTATAAAAATATAAGGATCTAGTGTCCAGAATAAAGAACTCATACGAGTCAACAAAGAAAAGACCAAGTAAAAAACAAGCAAAGGATTTGAATAGATGTTTCTTCAAAGAAGATGCACAAATGGCTGATAAGCACAGGAAAAGATGCTCAACATCACTGGCCGTTGGGGAGATGCAAATCAAAGCCACAGTGAGATACCACCACACCCCCTTCAGGATGGCTAAAAGAAAGACAATAACAAGTGTTGGCATGGGTGTGGGGAAATCAGACACTCGTACACCACTGGTAGGAATGTCAGATAGGGCAGCCGCGTGGCAACCTGAGGCAGCTCCTCAGAAGATGCAACCCAGAGTGACACGTGACACAGCAGCTCCACCCCTGCGTGTACACCCAGGAGAAATGGAAATTGTATCCACATCATCTTGTACAGATGTCTGTAGCAGCATTTTTTATAGTAAACGAAAAGGAGAAACAAACCCAAACATCCATCAACCTTTGGAAGAGTTGGACAAAGTGCAGCCCATCGACACAATGGACACCTACCCAGTCATGAAAAGGAGCGAAATTGGGACACAGGCTGCAGCCTGGATGACCCTTGATAAAATGCCGAGTGACAGAAGCCTGACCCAAAGGCCACACACTGTGATTCCATTTCTGTGACCTGTCGGGAGGGGCATGTCTATGTGGAGAGTAGATGGCGGTGGCAGGGGCCTGGGGAGGTGAGGGGATGAGGTTCTTGGGGTGATGAGCATGTTCTAAAATTGACTGTGGTGATGGTGGCCCCACCCTGTGAGTATGCTAGAAACCACCAAATCGCACACTTTCAGTGAGGGAATGTTTTGGGATGTGAATTATCTCAATAAAGCTGCTAAAAGCAGACAAAGCCTCGGCTTACAGTTCAAGGCCCCGTCTCCCACCCCTCAGACCATGACCCACGGCCGATAGGCCTGGTCTCTTCTGGGCATTTGCTCCCACTGCTCTGCCGACTGCCTGCCCCTGGCAGGGTCCTCTTACGAAGACTCTTTTGGCTGCTGGGAAGTTTTAGAAAGATGCCCTCTCTGGTCCACAGTGGCTTTCTGCTCTCATGCTGACGTGGGCTGTGAACCCCCCGAGGAGGGACCGCCACTGCCACCTGGTTCTTGCAGCCGCCCACCTGCCCCAGTGGGGAGTAACCAGTGTCCCCGCCCCTCCCTTGTAGCCCCACCCTGGGTCTGGCACCTTCTCGGTCTCTCGGCTGCACTTGATGATGAAGATGTTGGCGTAGATGTCCTCCACGCACATCCAATTGGACAGGGACAGTGTGGTGTCCGTCCACACCCAGTCCATCACGGCCCGCAGCTCCACCAGGAACGGCACCAGCCGGAACCTGCCCAAGGCCGGGGCGCTGTCAGGAGGGCCAGAGGGAGGGCAGCCTCGCTCCTGGTGCCCCTGGGCCGGCCCACACTCACCCCTGGAAGAGGAAGAGGTTGAGGTGGTTGTACTTCTTGGTGAGGAAGTTGCCGAGGATGCGGGTGGGATAGCCGCAGCGGATCTGGTAGGCGGACAGGGCGAAGTAGATGCACTTCACGAAGTACCAGAGTTGGGCCACCGCGTTCTGGCTGAACATCCTGAATGGGATGGGACGGGACGGGATGGGAAGGCCAGGTCAGGGCAACCCGCCCAAGTCTGGGAGCCAGAGCCCCAACCCCAGCTCTGCCAGGCATCGTGAGGGTGTCTCTCCAGGGCAGGCCCAAAGCCCCCAGTGCCCACCTCTCAGTGACGGCGGGCAGGATGAAGAACATCCAGAGGTGGATGGCCAGCACCAGGACTACCTGGAAGGCCAGCTTGCCCAGCACTGTCTTGCGCAGGTAGAGGGCACGGTCAACCACCATGGTGCTGAACTGGATCAGGAGCATGACTAGGAAGGCCTCAGGCACCTGGTCATCCGACAGGGACGATGTGATGTCCCTGGCTGCCGAGTGCTTCTGTGGCCGGGAGAGCAGAGGTCAGGGGGAGGTGGGACGGCCACTGGGCTCTATGCACACCATGGCCCCGAGCCCTGGCTCACCCCAAAGGCCCAGAAGCCAAAGATGATGATGATGAAGTCAACGACATCAGCCAGGAACATGAGAGCGTAGACGTCGGTGGCCGCGCGGTACTTGGTGTGCAAAATGTCATGGAAGAAACGCCGCAGGGGCCGGTACGTGCTCTGGGCTCTGTGGGTGGGCAGGTGGGCTCAGCTCCGTGCCGGCCTCAGTGCCTCCCACCCGCCCCTCGCCCTGGGGCCACTCCCAGGCCAGGTCACTCACAGGGACAGACAAAAGCTCTGCAGCCAGAGCCCAGCCGCCCTCACTCCTTCCTGGGAACGGCTCCGCCTCTTCTCTCTCCCTGTGGCTGCTGCTTCCTTCTCCTCTTCCTGGTCCCCATCCTCAGCTTCTGTAGGGGAGCAGCCACCGATGACAGAGCCCACAGCAGGCTGGGCCCAGCTCAGACTCCTAACCGCCCCGAGAGACCCCCCCCGGAGGGGCTGGCATCGCCCCATTTT